TACTGTGTGTCACAGGTGGGGCTGCTCTGCATCATGGTACGGAAGGCACTCCCTGCCTTCAGCCACAAGTTTTGGCTGCCTGCTTGGAGCAGGGTGGCCAGTACCAGTGTTTACGCAGTTAAATAGAAATTAACTCAGAATTTGGCTGCCTGAATCTGTAAATAAACAAAACAAAACCTTAAGGGCAGGTGCTTAGTTGCAGCACTTAAAGGCAAGGCCCTGACATTCTGGACTAGACCTGAGCAGCTCCTTCTCTGTCCCAATCTCACCCAGCCCTGCCCCCGAGAAGTAGCAGGCAAGCCTTCTTAACTAGCCTGCAGGGTCCCGATTGATCAGTGTCTCCTCCTGGCCCTTCTAGGCCTCTGGAGGACTAAATCTGGTTGGTAGCTGGCTTGAACAGGTGGGAGTAAGGGCACTGATGGCACAAGCAGCAAGCAAGGAGGCCTGATAGACCCCATTACACCATATAATTTCCAAGGAGGCACAGATAAAAATTCAGGCAGTTAGCTCAGCCTTAAGGGATTTGTCTAGTTTTACAGAATTGATATTTACTCACAAGCAAAAATTATTAAAAAAAAAAATATGCCAGAGCACTATAAACTCCTTCTGAGCCAGGAAGAATCACTGCCTGTGTCAGTTTAATTCCACATGCTTTAACTCGTCGCTTCGGCATACTAACTCTACTCTCAAGTGAAATCAAATAAAATTTTTATAGATGTTACAAAGTAACTACATATTTAACATTATCAAATTGCCAAAGTCCATTCTCCAATAATATGCTCAAGTGGATAGACAAATTATATTCCCATTTACTGGCTAATTAGTTGTCCGTGGCATGGTTGAGACGGCATGAATGCTGGGTTCCTCTTCACCCACTGACAGACAAGACAACCAAAAACCATCCAGGCATTCCCCATTTTCTAGGGCTCCCTCTTCTTCTTCTTCTTCTCCAATTTGATTCCTGCTGCTTGCAAAGATATGTTAGCCTACTCTGCTTCCCTATCCTGTGGAAAGCCCGGTCGGCTGGGAGCCTGCACTATCGTCTCTGAGGTAGTAAGAGGGGATGGGATTTCAGTGACCCCCAGATACTGAGGTCTATATAGCTGTATCCCATGAGAAAAAACCATGAGGAGGGAGAACAAGATGGTTCAATTACTGCAGTGTCATCACACTTTATGAAAACATGCTTTAACCAGATTAGCCTTCAGAATACTATGAAGGATAACCCAACTGCTTGCATTTTGGGTATTTTTGTGGATTTTTCTTTCCCTTAAGAGACCATGCTCTCTGTGCTGCATGGGCTTTGGGGTGAGTTCCTTACAGACTGGCATCTGAAGTAATCTGTACTCTATTGGTGTGTTTCTTTTAATTATATTTATTTTTGTTCTATATGAAAACAAGTAAATTGAACAAAGCTGGTGCTCCCCAGTACTATTGCTGGTCCCAAGAGTGTCCTGCCCAAAAAACAGTCACCAAATAAGGAATGACACCAAATTCTCTTGTGGGAAGGTTGCTGATATGAGCAACATTACTTCTATGAACACACTTGGGGCAAATATTAAGCCAAATGGAAAAGAGCTGCATTGAAAATGGATTGCGAAGACTGGCATTCACAAGTCCACTTTATGCCAGTAAAACTCCCTGTCCCTCTGCAAGTAGAGTGGATCTAAAGGATTCTGTTTTCATTTTCTGAGGTTTTATAAACTGGTTCAGCTATTTCAAGTTTAAAAAAATGCTTTTGATGTGGGATAACGGGAAAGCTGACCACTATCGTGGGAAGAGCTGGATGCTGGAGGAAATTGAGAAGATAACGACAAGAGACAATGGAAGAGAACCCAGGAGTCCAAAGAAAACTAGAACAAGTTTTAAACATGGGAGGGAACTTCCTGACCACCATGGAGTAACTTTCCTCAAAGAAGAAAGCTTAGGCTTCTTTTCTGAGAAATTGAAACAGGAAGACAAAATTTGTCTGGCAATCTAGGGTTTTCTCCTGGAGGGGCAATATCTTCCCATATGAACAAATCCATAATGCCTAACAATTCACTAGGGAGGAGGTGAGGGCACTGGCAGAAAAGCCGTGGGGAATCCCGTGCAATACAGTTAGCTGTCCTGTGCAATACAATTAGCTGTCAATGGGACTAGGACAGCTGGGGGTGAGGGTGCAGTTCGGTTCCCTATATACTGTGACAAAGTTCCTCCTCTATCTTGGTGGGTCCTGCGCTTATTGGCGGATTTTCTTGCCTCAGAGATTCACCATGTGGGTTGGGGAACAGCCCAGAGACCTTCCCCTCTGGGAGAACCCACAGTCCAGGTCAACTGGGAGGTTTGGGGGAACCCGGGCCCACCCTCTACTCCGGGTTCCAGCCCAGGGCCCTGTGGACTGCAGCTGTCTATAGTGCCTCCTGTAACAGCTGCATGACAGCTACAACTCCCTGGGCTACTTCCGCATGGCCTCCTCCAAACACCTTCCTTATTCTCACCACAGGACCTGCCTCCTGGTGTCTGATAACGCTTGTGCTCCTCAGTCCTCCAGCAGCACGCCCTCTCACTCTCAGCTCCTTGCACCTCTTGCTCCCAGCTCCTCACACTCCCACCACAAACTGAAGTAAGTGAGCTTTTTAAAACCCAGGTGCCCTGATTAGCCTGCCTTAATTGATTCTAGCAGCTTCTTCTTAATTGGCTCCAGGTGTCCTAATTAGCCTGCCTGCCTTAACTGGTTCTAGCAGGTTCCTGATTACTCTAGTACAGCCCCTGCTCTGGTCACTCAGGGAACAGAAAACTACTCATCCAGTGACCAGTATATTTGCCCTCTACCAGACTCCTGTACCCCACTGGTCTGGGTCTGTCACAATACCTTAGAGAAGCCTCAGGGCTGCAGTCTTTGGCAATACATAGGGCTACGTAACTGAAAAATATATGAAAAGTTTGTTAGCCTAGCTGGAAAGAAGATTCCCTTTAGAAAGAAATAACTATAACTAGGTACAATGGAAAATAAATTATTACAGAAGATGTAATAAGTAGAGCTGTGTGAATAACTGATTTTTTGGTTTACTGATCGTTCTGGAAAAAAAAATCATTCTAGGTTGAACAAAACATTTTGTTTCAATCGAACTTTAAATTTTTTTGAAAATTTTAAAATAAAATTGAAGTAAATTTTGAAGCAAAAAGTTGTTTCAAATAAAAAAACTGAAACATTTAATTTTGAAAATGTTGCAACAAAACATTTTGATTTTTTTCAAAATTGTTTTTTCCCCTAGTGAAACAATTTAGCAAAATCGGCACAAATTCTCAAAATGTTTTGGTTGATCTGAATCTGCATTTTTGGGGTGAAAAAAGTTTTGGCCAAAAAACTTTGCCCAAATCTAATAAGCATATTACATATATAATAGGAAAGAAGGAAATTATACGGTTATATATTAAAATAAATTAAAAGGAGAGGAATTAAAACACTAGCTTGTATCAAAGAGTACATGAATTATAACTAGACGGGGGGGTTATGCCAATGATTCTGTCTTTATAGGGATGTGTCAGACTTGGAGCTCTGATACAGAGAAACAAAATGGACTTCTGCAAAACTAAGACTTTATTGGACCAAGTAAAATTTATAATTATTATGTAACTTAACTAATCACTAGAACCTTCATGAGATGCTCCATTCAAATTCCTTTCAGGAATTTAATAGATACCATCTTTTTATTTTCTGTTTTCTCTCTATTCCGTAAGCTACAATATTTACTACAGGGCCTGATTCTCATTTACCCCTGGGCTCTTTACCACTGTGGTAGTGTAAAAGGGCTTTATGGCAATTGTGACTCAAGTCTGTAGTATTTATTTTGTTTAATCTAAAATGAATTGAGTCTTGGCTGTTTTATCTGGGGAACTTATTAATTGGTACTCTTGAAGGAAATAGATCTCTGGAAAGCATATGACTGGGGCAGCAGGGCTGGTGGCAGAGGACCCTGCAGCTCCCAGCTGGCACTGGCTCACATCACGCAGGTCTTTGGAAGTCATGGAGTCTCAGTTGCCTTGTCCTTTGGCTGATATTTTTATTTGACTTACCTCACTCCTCAGGAATCTTCATATTTTAGTTCATTTGTGAAATTATTTCTGCACTGATCTCCAAGTGATGAGTAGGAAGCTTATAAAGTCTGCATTTGTAAGCAAAGAGCTTAGAAAATCTATAGCAGTATACACTTATTTTACAAAATCTAAAAATATTGTATAGCAATTACAATATTTATTGAGAAATAACTAAAAAAATAAGGATCCCAAAAAAGTTAAAACTATAGCTATTCACTAATTTTCACTTTGAGATCAAAAGACAAAGGAGTTATTTCTGAAAATTTTTAAAAATAACAATTTTTCCAAGTCTTGTAATTCCAAATAGCTTTGTTCATCTCCCTCAAACTTAAGAAAAAAACTTCTCTTCTAGCCTCAGACTGTGCATGTGAAAAACCAGGCCAGAAATTTTGCTAAATTAGTGGGGAGACTATCAAAATCACCTAGGAAACTGCCTAACATAGAATTAATTCTGTGGCTCCAAAATAAAGAACTGTTAAATGGGAACAGGCCAGCTTAGTCCCACATGCCCATTAGCTTTAGGATTTCTCTCAAACACACTAGAGCAAAAGGGAAGTCTGGCTATGAGTAGATACAGAGGAGCCTAACCTTTTGAAATGATATATTTGCTGACAAGTACTATAAGCAATATGTCATATTTTACTTACATTTCAAAGTGATTGCATTCAATGCCAAAATAATAAATTAATGTTTATAATTCCCTAACAGAACTTTATATTTCAGAAGAGAAATAGAGAAGATGGAAAGTTGGAGACTTAGAGAAAAAGATATCGACAAGAAATTCTGAACAAGAAGCCTTTCTGCTGAAATCCATTCTCCGTAGAAGTCCTTGAGAAACAGTGACCCATTGGCAGTTATTCAACTGAGCAATGAATATTTAAAAATATATAAAACTCCAGCTACTCGTTTTTTAAATTTATTTTTTGTTATCAAAGACAATGTCCAGAAACATACAGTACTAAAGAATCTGTTCATGGCATTGTTTACAAAAGTTCCTAACAGACAGTGAATATTTTATTGTTTGAATGTATCCTTTATTATTAATGAGGTGAACTAATCAATGGAATTGTTTCTTTTAAATGACTCTTGTAAAGAAAAAAGATCTAGTCTGATTTTTGAATCTGTTGGTTGGAACAAGTTCACCGCTCGTGACAAGACCAGTTAAAGATCACTTCTTGCCTATCAGTGGAACTGGGCATGGCTCTTCTGAAAAGGTCACAGATCTTTCAAATATAGGCACCATGTTGTAAATTCCGTACATACAAAATATGTTCATGTCACTCAAATTACACAATATGGCAGTGTTGTAAGTCTGAGTATTATAGTCAATTAATGGCAAAGAAGAGAGCACAAAGCTCACGTATGACTAATGATAGGGACAAATCTTGAAAGAGACAAATAGTATAAAACAACAGTTTTCCTGGGAGGATGTGTGCACACGCATGTGTGAGAGTGCATATAACAAAAAAAAAGTTCATCACGAAGTTCAAATAATGGCCTGTCCATTTGCTCCAAGCTTCTTATTCAGTCTGAATGCTAAAGGCTTTCATTTTAACTACATGTTAAAATGTGAATTCAAATCCCATATAAGCCTTCTGTATGTTGGTTGGTTCAAACCAATTAGAATTAAGAGTGAGTGACAACCCTCCTTCTTTTGTTCTATTTGTCAGCCTCTGGGTATGTAGGGTACTTGACTGTCTCGATTTTCTCCTTTACTTTGTAAGATGGATACAGGCCTGTTCTCCCTAATTTCCTATTGATGCCTTTAGAGTAACCATCCCAGTGGTTTCCAGCCACACCAATTATATCTTCAGGTTCCATGGGGATTTCATCAGCAGTTCGTGGATGGTGGGCATAAATGGCAATCTGGTTGTGCGCATTTTGTCCTCCAAAATAGTAGATATCATCCAAAGAGTGGAAATGTGCTGAAGCATCTGGATGCAAAGTCTGCATGATTTCATAGGCAACTCGACAAACCTTGGAAATAAAAACAGAAAAGAAGCCATCAGTGCAGTATGTCTCTAACTTAACACAACATTCAACAGTCAACAACCTACACCCCACAGCTACATTGCACACAAAAGAAGTTCAAGCACTGGAATGTCCAGCTTAAACTCCCAAGTTCTTTAAATGGTATATTTGAAAAATACTGTACGTTTGCTAACAAATATCATGCAACTCTGCTGTTAGAATTCTTAACATCACATTTGGGAAAAAAGAAAATGAAAACTTTGCACTTTTCAATAAAGAGATGAAAGCTGAAAAAAATCACGGATTTATAAACAATCACAGTTTAGCTTTGTCTTTTTTTTTCTTTTAACAATCATTTGAAATAAAGCAACAAGTAAAATGTGTCATCTCTCTACATAGAAAACCTTGGAAATCAGTGTTCCCATCCCCCCCGGGATTTAGAGTTTTTACTGAAACAAAACATTAATCAAGGGCTTTACTTATCCACTGTCAATATTCTGGACCACTCTCAGTTAGGTTTCAAGTCAGGTCCTGGAATAGAGTCAGCATTGGTGGTGCTGATGAATGACACCTGTCCTGTCCACAGAGGATGTCCATGCCTACACTCCTGGGACTGTCTGCGGCTTTTGATATCACTGAATACCACTGTTTCATCTCAGCGACATAGTAAGGAATAATGGAAAAGCACTCAAATACTTCTAATCCTTTCTTGCAATCGCTAATGACTCCACCACATTCCTTCTCCTCCAGAGCATTCACCTCTGGTACTCCACAAAGCTCAATTTTCTCTCCTATCTTTTTTAACTTCTGCATGAAAGCATTGGGTAGGATTGTGAGATACGATGTTCTACATGCTAATAGCATGCAAATGACACCCAGTTCTGTCTCCTTTACCTCATATAAAAATATCACCATCTCCCAGCTATCCGAACACATGGCCAAGATCAGAATCTGAACAAAAGACAGTTCTTCTTCGAGTTCCGGTGCATGTGGCTCTCACTTATGGTGGGGAAGCACCCCTTGCACAGGAGTTTAGAAGTTAACTAAGTTATTAATTATTAGCTACTTAGTTAAAAAAAAAAAAAGACAGTTGTTGCTTTAGTGCAGTCAGTGAGGCTAGTCAGTTATCTTGTCAATTTTAGGCTTCAAGTCCTGCCCTTGTTGCAAGGAAGTTATTTCCCTCATGGACAGACACAACCATTATCTTTTTTGCTTAGAGGAATCTCACATCCCCTCAAAGTGTGCTATCTCTAGAGCTTTTAAGAAGAGCACTGAGAGCAGGGCCGGCTCCAGGCACCAGACGAGAAAGCACGTGCCTGGGGCGGCACATTGTAAGGGGCGGCATTCTGGCTAACCTTGGGGTGGCACATTCTGGCCGGTTTTTTTTTTTTTTTTTTTTGCTTTGGCAGCCCGTTCCGCAGCTCCGGAGCCCCGGCCGGCTCCCCGCACTCCGCCAGTCCCAGCTTATTGCACATGTATCCACAAGAATACAAATACAATTTTCTTGGGACTTAAACTTAGTCCCTCCTTCATTTATGAAGCTTCCATTTGAGCCTCTGTCATCTTGCTCCCTCCATCATTTATCAAGCAAAGTGGCATTTCTGGTGGCAATCATTTCTGCGCATAAAGTGAGAGAGATCTAGGCGTTCATGTCTAACCCACCAAATACAATATTCCATGCAGATAGGGTAATTATACAACCTCACCCTAGATTTATCCCTAAAATGATCTTGCTCTTTCATATTAATCAAATATACACATACCTGTATTTATTTCCAGGCCTTGCTCATCCCCAGACAAGACAAAGTTACATACTCTAGACGTCAGAAGAGCCCTGTTGTACTATCTTAGTAGAAAAAGATCATTCAGAAAATCTCCTAGACTCTTCATAGCATATGGGAATGCATCAAAAGGTAGACCAATCTCCTCTACAATATTATCCAAATGGATCATATATCAAGATTTCTTACATCATCAATAAATTACAACTATCAAGTAGGGTGATTGCTCATTCTACCAGAGCCCAAGCTACCTTAGCAGCCTGCTTCAGCAGAGTTGCAATCATTGAAATTTGTAGAACAGCAACATGGTCCTCAGTTCCCACATTTACCAACCATTACTCTCAAGTATCAGCATCTAGAGGAGATGCTCAACCATTTTATATGAAAGTCTGTTCCCTTTATAAATGAATTAAATGTTTTTGATATTTCCAGCATGCTAGCAATTGTAAAATCAGTAGCCCTACAGTGTAGACTGGAAGAATCAATTTGCTGAAAAAGACTGATAATGTCTTCTTGCAAGATCATCATGCAAAACCTCATGCTTGACAGTGAAAGTTGACACATTTGCTGCAGTATAAAACTGCCATTTAAACAAATATTGAAATAAATGGCCATACCATTTTGTCAATTATAATACCTTAGTAGCAGAAGCAAACCTTTCCACCCCAAGGAAATGTTAAATACACAGCAGATGATGTGCATATATGTAATGGGAAGCTTTGAATTCCATCCCACAGCTTTTTATATTCTGTGCAACTCATCTATCCATCTCTATCTGTTACATTATATCTGTTCATTCATTTTGGAAAACAACCCATTTTATGGCTATTGTTTAATAGCAATATTCTGTACCAGCATAATATTCACATATTACAGAATGCTCACTGAGTGGAGCATCTAGCAGGGAGCACATGGCACTGAGATTTGCGCTGTTTACCTGTGGGCCTCTGTGTAGCATTTAAGATGTTTGTCATGACCTACAATGCTCAGAAGGGCCTGGGACCTGTCTAACTGAGGACTGCCTCTCCCTCCATGACATACTGCCACAGCTGTTGTCAGTGGAGACACTCAAGCTGGATCACACTTTTTATAAAAGAGAGAGCGCTACTGATGGGATATTCTTGGTTAGGACTCTGTGAGTTCCTCCTGCCTTGGTCTGGAATAGCCTGAATATGATGACTTTCGGAATAGGCTGAAAAAAACATTTGTTTGACCGGGTTTTGGGGGAGGTATGAGGGTATGTTGTGGGGTATAATTTGGGGATGAGAGGCTTTTCTGTACTTTGTTATTGTCTGCTGGCTCTGATAAATTGTTACCTCCATTTGATTATTTCTGTCAGAGTTAATTTATTTTAATATTAGTATTAATATGGATATGTGGTTATTGTATGTTTAATTATTGTTAGGGTGCAGAAGGTAATCTGTATTTTGAGGTTGTGCAGCATAGTCACCTAAAGTGATTTCAGCACTCATTAGTATTATGCCTGTGTATCAATGTAATAACACAATCATGTTGGCCTATGCGGACAATATCCACAACTGAATTCTCTTCCGATCAGCACTGGCACTTAAGAGCATAAGTGACAGAAGTAGGCCCTTTGTCTGATTTTAATCACACCTTTTAGCTTTTTCACTATACCCTCCATCTGCCCGAACTGATGTCTTTTGGATCAGATGGAGCATAATACCAGTGAGAAAACACTGCTTTTACTATACTATTTGTATTTTAAAATCCTTAAGAATTTATCGTGATCCTTGAAATTATATGTACATGTAATAGAACAGAAAATACCACAATAACTATTGTATTATTCATATTCTCACTGGACTGAATTGCTTCATAAAGCTACTCAAGAAAACAAGCCTATAGCATGTAATTATTTGCACAACATATCTAAGTGGATTACAATGGATACTCTAAATTTACTGTACTGCTTCTGGCCTCATGGAAATGTAATTGACCCTGAAGAGGAATTACATTTCTTCCTTTCCCCTCCTCTGAATCCTATAAAGTAATCAACTGAGGCCAAAGGCTGAGGTGTTTAAACCTCTCAATATCAGCGCACTGAAGTGCAGAAAAGGATAGATTCGGGTTATATACTGATTGTATGCAAAATCATAGAGTATTATACAGGCCTAATTACCTTCTGCTTCTTTTAAATGCCCTGACTAAGCCAAGTACATTAAACAACTACGATGGCTGACTTCAGCGGAGAAGGTGTAATCAACCAGTGCTAACAAATAGTTCAATATGCAGATAATAATATACTGAATCTTTTAATTCTTTCATTAAATTTTCACTACAAAACACGGAGAATATGGTACTGTAGATGCACCAGCTAGCATTAAGTAAAAAAAACCAACTCAGACTTTTAAAATAATTGACTGATGAAATGTATATTTAGATGTTACATTGCAGTTTACCTGTGAGGAAAACGTACAGACCAGGAAGTCTGCCTGAGACAGAAAGTGGATATCCAGAATAACACCCCGCAGTGAGTTTTCAGTGTATCGATTATGAAGTCCAGCTGACCAAGATATGGAGTTATCACTGATAAATTCATAATTTGGATATCTGGTAAAAATATAATCTACAATTAATATCAAAGCCTTAAAATTAAAATTTTACAAACCAGCCTAATCATAAGAGCAAGTAGTTTTAAGTCACAATTCTCATTTACAGGGAATTTACCATTGCCTTTTTGACCATCTAGGATTTTAGCCCTCTGTCCTCCCCTTTGCCTCCTCACAAGGCCACCTTCTCCCTCCCTCCCCCCCGTCCACCACCATCAAAAAAGCCCTTCACCAAGCAAAGTTTTGACCCTGTAAAGGGAGCAGTGCCAGAGACTCCATGTGGTCGACTAGGGACTTTGTTATGTCTATTGATTTTATGTAGAAGGCACTCAGATACTACACCAATGGGCAGCAGGATGAAACCCTAAGATAGATAGATAGTATAGCACTGTGTCTTGATTTTAGTATACTTTTACCCATATTTACTACCATACTTTCTTGGAGGCTTTTAATTAGACCCTATCACCACTAATTGATTTCCATATGGAATGCTCTATCAAATAAACAAATGAGCAGAAACTGAAAAAAATCCGTTGCATTTTATAACAAAGTGATTTAAATTACAGCACTGTTCAACCACAGTTACAGTGTAATTATGAAGCATACCCCATATAGTTAACCTGCCAATTATTGGATTTTTTTAACTAAGTGCATTTATCTTATAAATATATATATAACTTAATACATTACCCCTGTAATTACTATAAAGTATGATACTAATAGAATAAATAGTGAGTAATTCAGTCATATAGTTAACAGTCTAGTTATATGAATTAATGGTACCTACAGTATCAAGAGTTCATAATTTAGAGCAGCCCTTAACACTGGGGCCAGAGCAGCTACTGGTCCAGAATCAAGGTGCTATAACTGGCTCTCTCAGTACCTTCCCTTCTCCTGTGCTGAGCACAGCTCAGAGTAAGAGAGATTAGCTCCAAGTGCTTGGACAATGACTGAAGTTAGAACAGGGGTCGGCAACCTACGGCACACGTGCCAAAGGTGGCATGCGAGCCGATTTTTAATGGCACCCTGCTGCCAGCCGAGGTCCCGGCCGCCAGCCCCACTCAGCCCACTGCGGGCCTGGGTGAAAGAAACCCCAGGCCGGCAGTGGGCTGAGTGGGGCCGGCAGCCGGGACCACAGAGCGGCGGCAGGCTGAGCAGCTCAGCCCACTGCCAGTCTGGGGTCCCGGCTGCCGGCCCCACTCAGCCCGCTGCTCTCTAACAGGGAGTTCCTCCAGGAAGGGCAGGCAGCCGCTGGCCAGGGATTCTCCCCACGGGGCAGCGGAAAAGCATCTCGGTGATCTTGGATGTGAGTTCCGAAGCCCCTGCCCACGGGGCTCGGGGAGCACTGTGGGGACTGGGCTCTGGGAAGCAGCTGCGTTACGGCTCCCAGATGCTGCATGAGCGGCTTGTGCAACTCTCTCCTGGCCCCTGGACTTTAAAGGGGGAGCCTGGACTGGTGCAAGGCGCCGCGAGTCGCAACTGGCCCCCCTCTTTGCATGGCCCCACTGCTGCCTCATACTCCCACTCTCCTCTCCCCTTCTCTGGCACTGCATCAGCCCAGGAGGGGGCAGATGGAGACAGGGAGGCTCTTGCTGTGTCTGTGCATCCTAACACAGTGGCACTTCAGCTCGGGCGAGAGTGGCCCCCCGTCTGGGCAGCTTTCAGCCCCCAGGAGAGTTCAGGTTTAAAATGCGCAAACTGCGGAGTGATCTGGGTAGGTTTTGCATCGCAGGGGATCTGCATCTCAAAGGGGAAGGCTGTGGGGAGTGCAGTGGTCCCTAGAAGCAGCCATATGAGTTTTTTGGGGAGCAGGGACCCGGGTCTTAAGGGCCGCTTCTGAGAGCTCCAGTCCTTGCTGTGTCAGTTTCATGTCAGGAGTTGCAGCTGAGCTGCTTCTCTGAGCCATTGGCATCACCGAAAGGGAGAAGCTGAAACTCCCCTGGGCACTGTGTCAATAAGAGTATTCGGTGCACAGGTTCATTTGAAAGAACCTCCTAATGCTCCTTTATGTGGTAGCAGTGTTTCCGCCCCCCCTGGCCCTGTTGCCGGTACAGTCGCTGCTTTTCCTCTTAAATGCACATGCTACCGTCTTCTGAACTTGAAAAGTATCTGAGGTGTTTGTGTGGATCAATATTGCAGGGAGAGATGGGAGCCAGAAAGGGCGAAATCTACATGGACCGTCCATTTAGATCAGCGGTAGGCAACCTATGGCACGCGCGCCAAAGGCAGCACGCAAGCTGATTTTCAGTGGGACTTGCACTGCCTGGGTCCTGGCCACCGGTCTGGGGGGCTCTGCATTTTAATTTAATTTTAAATGAAGCTTCTTAAACACTTTTAAAACCTTATTTACTTTACATACAACAATAGTTTAGTTATATATTATAGACTTATAGAAAGAGACCTTCTAAAAACGTTAAAATGTATTACTGGAACACGAAACCTTAAACTAGAGTGAATAAATAAAGACTAGGCACAGCACTTCTGAAAGGTTGCCGACCCCTGAGTTAGAATCTTCAAACACACTTTGTTTTGTACATCAGGGGACACTTAAATATCAAGCCCTATTTGGTGGGAATATGCCTAATTTAAACCCTCACAACATAAGAGCTACTGGAGTAATTTTCTTCAAAGGTGAAACAGGTCATACACAAGGAGGCTTTTCTCTCTGAAATTAATTAGCTGTGGCCATTGAGACAGGGAAAATCCTTTGTCTAACGACAACAGCTGGGATTGCACAAAACAAGAGAGAGTTTTATTTGCTCTTAAATATCTTGTTTGAAGCATCTGGCTTTGGGGGAGATTTAATTAGAATTTTGCGTCTTGAAGGAAACATTTGTTTCAACATAAAAATGAATATATTAATGGAAAACACTCCAGAGTTAATGACTCAGTTTTAAAGGTAGACTTGGTTATACATAGAACGTGGAAGCGGAGGTTAGATGAGAAAAGGAAGAAACTCTCAATTTTGAGATGCTGCTGCTGTTCCTGAAGAGAAATAGACAGGGCCATGCATGAGAGGATATAGGGGTCATATCTATGTCAGAGAGAGAGAGGAGCTGTAACTAGCAATATTTTTCTTCCTGCCTTACCCATTGTGGCCAATAGCTTCTGCCAATGTTGCACTACTGCTCAAAATAAAGTAGATGATAATACTAGGGCTGTTGATAAATTGCAGTTAACTCACGCGATTAACTCAAAAAAATTAAATCGTGATTAATCACACTGTTGATAGAATACTAATTGAAATTTATTAAATATGTTGGATGTTTTTCTACATTTTCATATATATTTTATTCTGTGTTGTAATTGAAATCAAAGTGTATATTATTTTTTATTATAAATATTTGCAGAGTAAAAATGATAAACAAAAGAAATAGTATTTTTCAATTCACCTCATACAAGTACTGTAGTGCAATCTCTTTACTATGAAACTGCAACTTACAAATATAGATTTGGTTTTGAGTGCAGTTATGTAGCAAAAAAAAAAAAAAAGTAAAACTTCAGAGCCTACAAGTCAACTCAGTCCTACTTCTTGTTCAGCCAATTGCTAAGACAAACAAGTTTGTTTACATTTACAGGAGATAATGCTGCCCTCTTCTTATTTAGAATGCCACCAGAAAGTGAGAACTGGCATGTCACTTTTGTAGCCGGCATTGCAAGGTATTCACGTGCCAGATATGCTAAACATTCATATGCCCCTTCATGCTTCGGCCACTATTCCAGAGGACATGCTTCCCTGCTGATGACGCTCATTAAAAAAAGAATGTGTTAATTAAATTTGTGATTGAATTCCTTGGGGGAGAATTGTATGTCCCCTGCTCTGTTTTACCCGGATTCTGCCATATATTTCATGTTATAGCAGTCTTAGATGATGACCCAGCACATGTTGTTCATTTTAAGAACACTTTCACTACAGATTTGACAAAACGCAAAGAAGGTACCAAAGTAAGATTTCTAAAGATAGCTACAGCACTTGACCCAAGGTTTAAGAATCTGAAGTGCCTTCCAAAATCTAATTGGGATGGGATGTGGTGCATGCTTTCAGAAGTCTTAAAAGAACTCCGATGCAGAAACTACAGAACCCGAACCACCCAAAAAAAAAATCAACCTTATGCTGGTGGCATCTGACTCAGATGATGAAAATGAACATGTGTTGGTCTGCAATGCTTTGGATTGTTATCAAGCACAACCCATCATCAGCATGGACGCATGTCCCCTGGAATAGTGGTAGAAGCATGAAGGGACATATGAATCTTTAGTGCATCTGGCAGGTAAATAACTTGCAACGCCGGCTACACCAGTGCCATGCGAACACTTATTCTCACTTTCAGGTGACATTGTAAACAAGAAGCGGGAAGCATTATCTCCTGAAAATGTAAACAAACTTGTTTATCTGAGCAATAGGCTGAACAAGAAGTAGGACTGAGTGGACTTGCAGGCTCTACAATTGTACAATGTTTTATTTTTGAATGCAGGTTTTTTTGTACATAATTCTACATTTGTAAGTTCAACTTCCATGATAAAAAGATTGCACTACAGTACTTGTATTAGGTGAATTGAAAAATACTATTTCTTTTGTTTTTTTACAGTGCAAATACTTGTAATCAAAAATAAATATAAAGTGAGCACTGTACACTTTGTATTCTGTGTTGTAATTGAAATCAATATATTTAAAAATGTAGAAAACATCCACAAATATTTAAAATAATGGCATTCTATTATTGTTTAATAGTACGATTAATCCTGTGATTAATTGCGATTAATTTTTTTAATAGCTTGACAACCCTAGATAATACTATTATTGTTTAAAATATATTTTATTTATTTTCCTAATGTGAGTTTAGCTTGTCCGCATACTTTTATACAGAAAAACAGCAAGAGCAATAATTTTAAATTTTATTTGTCAGAAAAAAAAGAATACATTTTGTCTGTAATCTGAACTTTTTTGATATATATAGTACATCACCACACTTTTGTGGAACTTATAAAAAGCCAAATCTCACAGAATCACTTTGAGAATCCAGATAACTGTAATTATCAATCCCTTCTTATACAGCATAACAAAGGCATCTTGCAAAAGGACTGTGGAAAGTTGAATATCCTGTAGTTGAACATACATTCTGTGTGATATGTTACTATGATATTATGGCGGTAACGTGATGATACTGACACATCCAATTGCAAGTTCTTGTCACCAGGAGCACTAAGAGCAGGTGACTTTCCTCAGCCTATTCTAGAACAAAGTCCACATACCATGTAGAGTCAAAACCTCACCTCATTTTCCTGGGATTTGGCTTTAGTTACAAACAAAAGTAAAAATAACTTAAAAGTTCAGTGCAAGCCTTCTCCCCAGCGTTCTTACTTTAGTACTGCTTAGATATATTCTAGATCAGTGGTTCTCAAAGCCTTTCCGCCGCTTGTTCAGGGAAAGCCCCTGGTGGGCCGGGCTGTTTTGTTTACCTGCCGCGTCCGCAGGTTCGGCCGATCACAGCTCCCACTGGCCGCGGTTTGCCACTCCAGGGGGCTGTGGGAAGAGCAGCCAGCACATCCCTCGGCCCGTGCCGCTTCCCGCAGCCCCCATTGGCCTGGAGCGGCGAACCGCGGCCAGCGGGAGCTACAATCGGCCGAACTTGCGGACGTGGCAGGTAAACAAACCGTCCCGGCCCGCCAGGGGCTTTTCCTGAACAAGCGGTGGACCGGCTTTGAGAACCACTGTTATAGATCCTCTCTTTCTACAGAACAAGCTCAACCACTCCTCTTCACTGTAATGCCAAAGGATCAGATTGTGAAAATCAAGCAAAATAATTTAAACTGGCATCTCAAAGCTTTCTTCATATTGGATTATCTGTACGCATTATTTCTTCCCCTCTCATAGTTATCAGTTTCTGGTAGTTCATTTAAGCTTCATTATACATCTCGCACTGCATTCAGAAACAGAGGGTTTTATTTGTTTTTGGGGGCGGGGATACTTTTTAAAATATTTTCTTTCTTCCAAGACCATTGATCTTGGATGTGACAAACTAGACCCCAGTTGAAGGACTAATTCAAGCTTCAGTGTGTTGGAACAGAGTGGTTTAATGGATTTAGAAGTTACTAATGCTAATGTTTTTGCAAGACGTAAACTACAGCCATTACATAGCAAAAAAAAAAAAAAATGTTTTAAGTTTATGTAGTGGGAGTAAGGAAACAACAGTGAAGTGCTGTGGAAATTCTCCAGATGTGCTGGGGAAATTAAAATTTAAAAAGAGAGAGACAGTTTGTGCAATGCAACGGAAGTTGAAAATTAAAAAAAAAAAAGCATAAAGTGCTCAAGATTGTATTTATTTTTTAAATATTTTCCTCCTCTTTTTCTGCTTTACAATACTAAAAATATAAATTATATTGGCCGAGGAGATTATGCTCAATTTACAAAGTCTTACCGACAAGCTGAGGCCAAACATGGAAAGATTCAGCCCCAACCAAAGAATTTCTGAGAAAATGATCAACAAATTACAAGAAGGTCAATAGTGAAAGCTGAACTGTAATCTCAACTATATAAATTAAACCACAGATACTATGTTGAAATACCTACATTAAGAATTGTACCCACAAAGGTCAGGAATTGTAGGACTCTTCCTAACTGACATGAACACTTCCATTGCACATCTATGTACTGCAAATGTAATTCATCTTACTTCGATTTTGCCTCTTGTAGTAGCGAAGGGTCATCTGTAGCCAAATAAACTCGTTTTTTGTCTATATGCATTCTGCGGGCAAGAAGCTGGAAACGTTCTTCAACATGTACCATGTACTCTTCAATGGGATGAAATGCTGCCTCTGTTCCCACTTTGTCTGTCCTTCGGACATGAACACTGAAAAGAAAGGCAGACACTTGGGATTCAACTTGTAAATGTTTTATATTTTTTATAATAGACAGTTTGGCAATTGAAATTTAGATTTTATCTTAGAATAAACATTTTTGCCCCATTATGGTGTTCAGATGAGCCTTAAAATGAACCACTAAATAAAATGAAAAAGGATTAAAAATCAATAGTGTCTACAGACAAATATTCACCAAATGTGAAATTACTAATTGCAAAGTCTGAAATATTCCAGGAACCACAGGACATATTAGATTTGTTATGTAGCACCATGGGAGGTAACTTCCATCCTGCCCTTGAAAACAGAATATAATTATTATTTTTGGAGGCCAAATGCTAATACGTTCCACATCTGTCAGAGTGGAATCTTAGAGATATAGTTCTGCAAACCTCTCCAAGTCTCTGCTACTGAGTAGGCTGAGGCTGACCTTCCTTTGATCTTTTCTACATACACCCAGCAGGTTTTATTTAGTTGCACAGTGTACAATTTAAATTTCTTCAGGAAAACTATATATGAGCTGTCAGGACTAACAGTATTACATTTTCTCTGGTCTGCAAAGGAAATATATTTTTAAGATATGCTTGTCCCCTCCTACCTTTTACTAAGTCAAAACACTGCCAAGTAATTCCAATTTTCTGTATAGTGCTCCAAGCATTTCTCTTTTGGGTTTTAAATGGAACCTTATTTGTCCTCAACAGAACTGCATCAATTGTAACACCTTTTAGGATTTGTCAGATACTTCCATTAAAAATCTATGGACATTATATTCCAAACAAGTGATCTATACTATTACAAACAAATGGCTTCAGATACTGTTCAGGAATTCAAGGAGATTAAAACCAACAGATGTGGCATGAAAAGGTACATTCATTGCCCTCAGATGGACTAGTTAGTTTACTCCACAACAGACAATACACCTCTACCCCTATATAACGCGACCTGATATAACACGAATTCGGATATAACGCGGTAAAGCAGCGCTCCGGGGGGCCGGGGCTGCGCACTCCGGCGGATCAAAGCAAGTTCGATATAACACAGTTTCACCTACAACACGGTAAGATTTTTTGGCTCCCGGGGACAGCGTTATATCGGGGTAGAGGTGTATTTCTTTTCTTCCTCAATATTTTAAAAGATCATGTATTTACAGGTTTCCTGGCAGCTGGCTATGCAGTCTGCATGTCAAGTCTGATGGGAAAATCTAGAAGGAGCAATGCAGGGGCAAGGAGAAATTTCAGCTATTAGCATAGGTGTAACAAAGCATGCTTGTCCTTTAAGGTCAGGTGCATCCTAGCACACCTGCTACAGGGCCATAACTCTTTAAGAGCAGACATGCTGGTACTTCTAGTCTCCAGGAAGTCTGCTGAAACCAAAGCCTCCTCGGAGATGAAGCAGGTTATAAAAGTCAAGCTATGGTATTAATGGGAGAAAGACATGGAGTCTCTCTCCTGGATGACCTGAAGGAAAACAGGCGTGGTTTTTAGGTCTCTCTTGGCAAGGGCCTGGGGAAGGAGCTTGAGTGACCTAGGGTCAGAAACCAATGAGCAGGCCAGGGTTTGCCTTCAACTGGTGAGAACCCCTAGAGCCAAGAGGAGCAAAGAAGACTATTCAGACCCTAGTGAGAAGGCTATAAAGGACATCTGTAGTCAAGGGGTAGAAGAAATGTCGTGAAACCTGATAAAAGGGAGGGAAAAATTATTTGCTGGTCCTAGCAGAAGGGCTGTGGACACCTAAGTAGAAGTCATAGATGGGACGATTATAGGAATATAGATTTGACTGTAAATTATTGTCATATAATTTGTATATTAATAAACCAGACCACAGAATTGGAGATATCTTTAAATTCTATTTGTATGAGGGTAGGAGAGAACTGATGCTCAGCTGTGCACCTAACATCATAGAAGTAAGCAACTGTAATACAGTGTAAAATGATTGATGTGAGATTTCTAAATATGTGGAGTCTGGTTTTGTATCTATCATATTTTGCAAATTTATTTATAGTTAACATTTACGATGTGCAATAACACATGTACAATTTCTAGGCTAACACCAAAATAAAATTCCTACCCAATAACTGGATGCTTGAAACCAAGTTTCCTTGTTGCTTCTTCGATTTCCTTTTCTAGCCATGGTTGTGGGCGAATCAAATATTTGACAAACTGCGAGACCCACCACACTGCAGGATCCCCATGGACGCGAATTAGTCTATCAGCCAGGTCTTCTGGGACAGCCAATGGCAAATAAGGTGGTCGTGGGTGTAGGCTGTCAACGATGGGAAGTTCCACCACCTGAACATTCTTATCATTTGCCTCACCTGTACCAGAATACAAATAGGATGAACCAAGTGTTTCAGTTCAATAACAATCTAAATATGAGATATACGAGAATATGTAACATTCCAGGTGGATCACCAGAGCAGCATTTTCAACTTGTTAACAATGAGGCTAATGAACCCCCTTTCTATTTTTGTTGAAACTTTATTTATAATAATGGATTAATATTATGCCATTTTTGTGCTTGTAACAACCTATGCCACCAGTATGCCTCTTCATTATTATTAGGTGGATTATATATACAATAGACCAGAGGTTCTCGAACTGTGGTGGTCTGCGAGCTCCATTCAGGTGGTCCACAGATAGTTCCCTTTAAGGTGCGTGCCTGGGTGACCATGCACAAGAGAACAAAGGGCCATCCACCTAATTAGTGGAGCCGTGCAGGTGTGGCTCCACTAATTAGGTGCTGGACCCTGGAGAAGACATGCATGTAAGGTGAGGTGGTGGCCTTGGGGGAATAGAGTGTAGGTGGGAGGGGGCAGTGGGGTGAGAAGGGGGAGTGGGGGAATTTGGGACAGGCAAGGCTGCGGCAGCCAGAGAAAGAGCCAACTTTCCCCAGCTCCAGGGCTGTGGCTGCCAGGGAGAGATGACCCTCCTTCCCAGCCTTTGTGGCTGCTGTGGCGGGGGAGAGAGGGAGAGACCCCCCTCCTTCCCAGCCCCAGCTTGGGATCTGCCATGGTGGGGAAGAGAGGGCACATCCATCACATTAGAATAGTAAGACTACTGATATTAAAATATGAGTTGTATGCTTTTATTTGTAGAACAAAAAACGTTAATTATTATTAAGCATTTTTTTTATATAATGCTTTTATCCAAAGCACTTTACAATAGTTAGCTAACGGTACAAACAATATTTTGGAAAGATCATTAAGTGGTCTGCTACGACCATCAACAATTTTCAAGTGGCCCGTGAAAAAAAAAGTTTGAGAACCACTGCAATAGATCAACAAACCCTCTTAAAATATCACTACTGTGCATCTAGGTCTACTTGGACATTCCTTACAATTCTGAATGCTCAGAATGAAGTTGAGTGTTTAAAAATAAATCAAAAACATTATTTCACACAGCAAGAACTGGATGACAGAAAAATGCAACCACAAGTTCCTGCAGTGTTTCAATATGGGGACAGCTCTCAATGTAGGTCACTTATCAAACTTTTCCATATACTATTATTTAAAGTTTATATTACAGTCAAACCCAGAAGCCCCAGTCATGATTGTAGCTCTGTTGAGTTAGTTGCTGTACAGAGGTAGGAGAGAGGGAGATAATCAAATGCACATTGTATATACATGCATGAATTTGCCTTTTAAATATTAATTATAACAGAATTGGTTTGTACACACACTGGGTTGCACCACTGACAGCTAAATGCCAGGGCAAAACCAGAGATATTTTAGATCTCGGGCACCACTATTAGGACAAAACTATTAGGACAAAACTAATTCCAAAAAAAGAATAAAAATGTCCATATTTCTGGTGTTCCCAGAGCTCATCTCACATGCTGAACATAAGCAATGATGATCAGACAATTAGAAGCATCGGAATACAATACTATACCGTTTAATTTTTAAACAATGAAATATTTAGATATGTATTTCTAGTGGGTTGAACAACTCACAAAAGATGTTGTGATTGTCTGCAATGGATGCCAGTGCAGCACAGTGAGAGCTGACCACTGGACCACTAAAGACAGAATGCATTATGAGTGGCTCAGAGGATAAGTATATTTTCAATTTAAGCCATCAGAAACAAACATGGTAAAATATTTTTTCTGTACTAAGAATAAAGTATTCTATGAAGGTTTGAAGTTAAAATGATCTGAGAATAGTTGTCAGCTATCAAGAAGGCTAATTGGCTGACAAAATCTATTTGGTGTAAGTACGAATAATGAACCTGTGTCTTATTCAGTAAAAGGGGCAATAAGAAAATTCCCGTAGTTGCAACTGTTCTGTGTGTATGTAAAATTCATTTCAGTACACTTGTAAAACAAAGCCCATGAAACATGACATTTATTGCATGATTAAAAGGCAAGCTGCAAGAATTTTTTCACTGGTACTGTAGAGTACATCAAAGCTGGCAGTCAAAGTTCAGGAATAATAGCAATAACCTCTATGAGATGTAGAACTTTAATTAGGAGCTGGTTGGTTAAGGTGAGGTTATTTTAAATTAATGTTTTCTGGAAAGAAGCCTACAAGTTATGTAGCTGCAAATAATTATTACTCATGACTTTTAGAGATGAACCTGTATCTTCTTAGGATATGAGTCTCATACTGTATAGAATTAATTTAACTTGTATCTGATAAAGTTATTGAACTGATAATTGAAAATAGAATGATAACTTATGGCTTGCTACAGTAGGAGGGTTTTGCCAGTAGTTATACTGGTTTAGCTAAACTAGCAAATTGTCCTAGTGTAGATGCAATTATATTACTATAACTGGGCTTATACCCATATACCTTATGCTAGTTTGATGCCATTATAAATCAGTGTTTCACCCTCACCTGTAACACTGTGTTCAGTACTGGTCACCCCATCTTTAAAAGGATTTCGCAGAAGTAAATGGGGTTCAAAAATGAGCTCTTATATGAAAAGAGACTGAAAAGATCAGTAACAGTTCACTATTATAAAATATACAAAATATTGAATTTTGAATGATATTGAGCAGGTGGATCTCAAAATACAAGAACAAGGGGACATTAAATAAGATTGAAAGGTGGCAAATGGAAAACTGATAGAAGGAAATACTTTTTCTCATAATACAAAATTAGATCCTGAAACTCACTGTCATTATAATAGTAATTTTTTTAAAAAAGTTTAAAAAAGGCTATGAAACCTCATGCTTCAATCTCTATTGAGGTTAGGAGACTAACAAAAGAGTGTTGTCCTCAAAACAGTGCTGAAGTGCATTTTAAAAATAGTACAGCCTTATACAGGCACTCTGCAGAGCAGTGAATTGAACCTGGAAACACACTATAGTTTTCAGACTATGACTTTCTGGTGTACTGACAGTTGAGTGCAATACCCCTCTCACATTCCATCACCACTACTACTGAGCTCTCTCTATAACATTTCCAATCAGTTTTCTCTGAGAGGTCAGAAATGACTCTTCAGACAAAGATGCCATCAGGGAACCCATTCTGGTGGTAATGCAGAAGCAGCACTTCAGAGAGATCAGAAGAGGAAGGGCTACAAGATGTGTCCACAATCATTAACATCTACTCAGTTCCCAAGGAATTTGACCTCTCCCCTCCCCATTTCTTCCTCTTACAAACCATTTTAACTTTTTGTTCAATGTATATATTGTGGCTAGGCATCTCCCTCGCTTCAGGGGGCTCAGCGTTTCCCTCTCCAGCGGTGGGGGCCTGGAGTAAATCAGTCCCACTCCACAGAGTTTTTAATTTCTCATTCAGGTTTTATTTTTCAATATTTACAAAGTGGGCTTCTGGGTAGGCCCAAGGAGTACTCTTCAGCCAAACAAAAAGAAGCAAATTCATAACACGGGTCTGGATTTCTGAAATGGGAGTGGTCTGGTGCTGGAGGGTTGGTGCAAGCTCCTCACACATCTTGATGAAGGCCTGCTTCCTCACTCTGAAGTTCTGCACCCACTAGTCATCATCCCAGGTTTCCAAGATTATGTGGTCCCACCACACCACACTGGTTCTCTGGGACCAGAAATGGTGGTCCACCCATGGGCATACCATTGTAATCTCAGCACTTGACTCATCTGTTCCTTGGGACCACAGTGGATTTTCATTCCATCTCTGGATCAGCCACCTTCACCATCTCAAAGTTTTCTGGACCAATTCCATCCTGTATCCAGTAATGTACTGCATGAACATTTGTCCCGCAAGTGCTAGCAGACCCACATAATCATATATTTGCTGCGTGTCTCCAGTATTGTTTGGCAGAATGGAGAGATGAATGGGAGCTGCAGTTGCCAAATGCGTGAAGGTGATGTATAGTACCAGCAACATGCAGCAAGGTGGTTGCCAGAGCATCTCCTATGACACACAGGACTCTGATACCACCCCTGAAATGGTAGTGCTAAATGTCACATACTGAAAAATGGGATGTGTGGACATGGGTATGTGCCTGTGTACAACCTATACTGATGCCCAGCTAAGCAATGAGGACACTTGTCACAGATATGGGATACATGTGCTAGCAGTACACAGACAAGTACCCAGGGAAGTGTGCAAGTGTAGACATATAATCTTAGACATGTTAATTTTAGTTACAGAAACACCTTTTGAGTTGGTGAGAAGTGAAACAAGAAGCTGGATAGACTTTCTCAAGGTTTAATCTACTTATAATAACCAAAGGGGAAATTGCTGGAAAGATGATAGGCTCAGTAAAATGAATTCCGTCACCTTCACAAGGAATGTAAGATGTACTTGCAGCACCCTACACATTCTTGTTAAGCTAGAATGCACATGAATTCCTAGTTCCTGGAAGCACAAGTTCCAAGATAGGGAATCCTGTGCAAATGGGATCCTTGAATAATTTTTTTTAAAACTTAGAATGCTGTATGGAACATTGGACAAATCCTTCACATGTGTTATAGTCTAACATGTAACATACCATAATATAAATTATTTTCCTGATATAGAGTGAGTAATGTATGTACAAGAAAACCCAATTGTAAATTCTCACTTGAGCAGTGCTTTTTTGCAAGAGGCAATGCACATAACCAACTGCAAAACTAAAATTTAATAAATTAGGTCATTATTATTTCAGTAGTCAGTTTTCAAAATGCAATCTTTTATTAATGGCTTATGTGTTATCAGGGCCGGCTCTAGGTTTTTTGCCGCCCCAAGCAAAAAAAATGTTGGCCGCCCCCCACCCCAGCCCTGGGCCCTCACCCCTGCCGCCCCAGCGCTGGGCTCACCCCACCTGCGCTGACTCCGCCCGCTCCCCCCTCACCTCCAGCCGGTCTGGCGCTGGCAGGGTCGGGGTAAGCAGCGGGGCTTCCAGGCTGCAC